AAAAAATATATTTATTACACATTTAACCTACTTATGACATATATTAGATAAACCCTTAAAGAGATACCATCTTAAATATGAAAAATATGTTTATTAAAATTGTGAATCTTAGTGTACATAAATATATATTGTATTTTTCAAACTTATTTTTCTCTAATATAAGATATTTATGTATCTCTTAACTCTACTTTATATGTAAACCTTCTACTGGATCTGACAGTCTTGGGAGAGGATAGGGACTAGCTTATGAGCAATGGAGGAGGGACAAAGGGATAGGGACAATGGAGAGAAGGTGGGGCTCAAACTCGCAAATCTCTAGATGAATCACTGGTCAGAGAGCCTAGCTAATTAATCACTGGTTTCAACGTGGTGGCTCAGATCTGCCGTTTAATAATATTCAATGGTCTTGAAATTAGCAAGTCTATGCCGGTTACTCGCTGGCCTTCGGTAAAATTGATTGATGACCAAATTTGATCGAAGTGGTAGGTTTAGTCGGCAAAACAATCATTTATAAAACAAAAAAAGGTATATACTATTTTTATTTTTAGGAAAGAGACGACATTAGAAAACCAGAAACAAGGAAAATGTGACCAAAAGCAACCATGAACGATCAAGTATTAAAAGGAGTAGCAGATTTCAAAAATATATAAAAAATTGAGGGCTCTGGAAAAATGGAGGTTCAATAACGTATCTTTAGGAGGGATATGGCGCTGATGGGTGCCACGAAGGCCACGTTATATAAGACAAATGCTTTGACTTTAACTGTTGAAAAAAAAAAACAAAACAAAAAACAAAAAGGGACTGTTTGTTTAGAAGGCTTATTATTATTTTTTTTTTCTGAAAATAGGCAATGGAGTTTAGAAGGCTTATGGGATTCAATTACCCCTAGGAGTTTTTGGCCCACTTGTCTACGGAACTAAGCGTTTATCATCACCCGAATAATAACTTCAATAAGGTGGTTTAATGGTTAATATCTTGACACTTTAAATTTAATGGAGAAAAATTTTGAAAATAAAAAATATCTATCTTTTTTTATTTAATTTATAATCAAATATACAAAAAAAAATAATCACCCTAAATAATTTTAAAGAGTTACCGTAATACATTTTGAGCTAGGGTAAACTTCTAGAAGTGGGAATTTGTTCTTTTACCCGACTAAACACTAATTAACAGTTTTTAAAGATTAATGGCAACTTTTAGAGAGAGTAGTTTCCCTTAAAAGCTGTTAATTAAACACTAAATTGTGCTAAAACATTAAGGACTTGTTTGTTATCAAGGTAATTTTATTAAGAAATCTTGACAAAGTAAGTGAAAAAGTACCATATGAAAAAAAATTTGCAACCTTAGTATTAAAATTTTACAAATCAATGCTGTGAAACTAGATCTTAATTTGGTCCAATGATTGAAAGTTAGGCGATTTTGACTGTACTCGAAAGATAATGACCACCCATT